AGAAGGCCCAAAAGGCCCACAAGAGGGATCCAAGAGGATCTCCAGGAAGCCAAAAATCATTGATTGTCCCTGCCTGTTCAGCCATTTCAGTGCTCTCGCCTTTTCGGGGCAATTTTCCCGACGATTGTCCCGACGGTTGTCCAGATCGTTGTCCGGATGGTTGTCGCGAGGGTTGTCCAAATGGTTGTCCCGATGGTTGTCCCGATATTTGCCCCGATGGTGACTTGATTGACTGATCATGAAGTCGTTACCCAGATAGTGATGCAGATCAGATCGAAAGATCGATACATCGACGCATAGTTTGATGACATATCGATACATAAGTAGTATCAGCGATCTATCAATCGCGTTGCCGATGTATAGATGGATGGTGGGATCGATAAATTCATCGACAGTGAGACCGATAGAAAGTAAAATCGAAACATGTGTCTGGTGATGTCCATCGCTGAAATCTAGACAGGGTTTGTTATGTAGCAGTCGCAACAAAAACTCATGAGGCCACGAAACAAATAAAGGGTGTGCCGAAATCAGTGGCGGGACCGCATGCGCACTGCGGCACCGAAACCTTCGGTGGGGCCCCCTGTGGTGTTACTAAACGAGTGAGGGGTGTGCCGAAGTGGGCGGCGGAGACGCATGCTAACAACGCCAATGGGACCGTCGGTGGAGCTCCCTGTGGTGCCACGAAACGTGTGAGCAGTATGCCGAACTGGTTGGCGGGGGACGTAGGCGAACTGCGAAACTGAGACCTTAGGTGGAGCCCCCCATGGGGCCACGAAACATGTGAGAGGTGTGCAGACATGGGTGGCGGGGACGCATGCAAACTGCGCAACTGGGACCTTCGGTGGAGCCCCCTATGGGGCCAAGAAACGTGTGAATGGTGTGCCGAAAACAATGGCGGGGGCGCATGCGAACTGCGCAACTGGGACCATGGTGGAGCTCCCCGTGGGGCCACGAACCAACATGGGTGGCGGAGACGTATGCGAACTGCGCCATTTGGGCCTTCCGTGGAGCCCTGTACGAAGCCACGAAACGTGCGAGGGGTGTGCCGACATGATTGGCGCGGACGCGTGCGAATTGCGCCACTGTGACCGTAGGTGGGGCTACGGGGCCACGAAACATGAAAGGAATGTGCCGAAGTAGGTGGCGGGGACGCACGCAAACTGCGCCACTGGGACTTCCTTCCGGTGGAACTCCTCATGGGGCCACTAACCGAAACAGGTGGCGGGGACGCATGCGAACTGTGACATTTCGGCTTTCGGTGGAGCCCCCTGTGGGGCCACGAAATGTGCGAGGGGCGTCGACATGAATGGCGGGGACGCATGCGAATTGCGCAACTGGGACCTCAGGTGAAGCTCCCCATGGGGCCACGATATGTGTGAGGGGTGTGTCGAAATGGGTGGCGGGGACGCATGCGAACTGCGCCACTGGGACCTTCGGTGGAGCTCCCTGTGGGGCCACGAAACGCGTGAGGGGTGTGCACAAGCTGATGGCGCTGATGGTGATGATGACGACAACGATGATGACGATAATGGTGATGATGACGGCGAAGCTGATGGTGATGATGATGATGCTGTTGATGATGATGATGATGATGATGATGATGGTGAGGCTGATGATGATAATGATGATAATGATGATGGTGGTGATGATGGTGATGATGATGGTGCTGATGAGGATGATGGTGATAAGGATGATGGTGGTGGTGATGATGACGACGATGATGGCGATGCCGACGGCGAAGCTGATGATGATGATGATGGTGATGACGATGATGATGATGGTAATGATGATCATGATGATGATGATGGTGGTGGTGATGATGGTGATGATGGTGGCGATTATTATGATGATTATTATGATGGCTATGACGATAATGATGCTGGGAGGAGAGAGGACGGGAAGGGAGGAGGAAGGAGAAAGGAAGGAGACGCGGGGCGCTGTCTCTTCAGACGCGGACCCAACACCACAGGATGGTTGAGAACCGAGGGGGACAAATGAAAACCATGACGGCCATGAAATCACAACAAACAATATGACATAACTAACAAAACAAAATTGTGTGTTCGTGTGTCATGGTTTGCTTCTATTGTTTTCCCGTACGGCTTCACAAGCTGTCGTTACTGTTTAACGTTTGCTGTTCGCATGTTTTTCAGTGGTGTTCCTTTGTTGCTGCTTTGTGTGTTCTGTGTCTCCATTTGTGATGTCTGTGTCTCCATATGTTGCTATTATGCTTTGTACGATTTCATGTATTCATATTTCTCGTTGCTGTGTGTTCATTGCGTTTGACTGTTTGTCCTTGGTTATTGCTGTTTGTTCTTTACTTTCCTCGGTTGTAATTGTGTTCCTGGTTTTCCGCCAGCAGCGCCGGGCAATGAAAACACAGAAACTATAACGTAAAGCAAAGAATACTAACAAGTACTGTGCTTTCATAAATTTCGTTTGCGTCCACTCGTTTTCCGTACATCTGTGTTCACATGTGTTCTTCAAAAATTAGTTGCTGTCACCGCGCTTTCATATGCTTGCATGTGTTTCCCAACGTTTCTAGGTTTTAATGTATGCGCCTTCGTTTTACAGTGAGTTCGAAATGCGGAATTGTTATTATTTGTTGTCGTTGGGTTTTCACTGTTGTTCTTGTTATTCTTTTTTCTCATTTTCTAGCCAGGGCGCCAGCCAAGGAAAACAAGGACAACGTAGCGACGAATAAATGAAAAACATCAGTGTTCGGTTGCTTGAACTGGTTGCCATTTGTTCAGAAGGCTCCTGGCGGAAAACAAGGGAAACAAGACACACACGAAGCACAACGAAACTCCATAGCGCCACAAAAAAGCTGTGTTCATATGTCTTCGCGCGTTTATAAGTGCGTTTTGTGTTTTGCAACGTGTGTGCTTAATGTGTAGGTGGTGTTGCTATATTGTCATGGGTTGCTTAATTGATTTCGTGCGTTGTTGCTGTGAGGTTATGTGCTTTTGTGTGTGCGTATATTTGGATATGTTGCTGCTACAAGGTGTCATTGTGTTGTGCTGATGTCCGATGTGTGCTCACAGCATGTGGCTGTGTTTCATTGTTTTCTATATATACGTAAGGGCTTGGCCCCCTGCCGCCGGCCCCCTCCTTACCATAATGGGATATAACAGAATCGCGTCGGTGCCTTTCGGCGCTGGCTTGGCGCATCTGGGAACAGTATGCGCGGGCGGATAGAAATCATCAACGCATATTGAGACGTTGGCGGTATCGAAGACGCCTACGGCGAATCACCGCCGCCCCCTGCGTTTGGAAGCGCCTGCGTGGCCGAAAGTTAGGTTTCAGCTTGGCCAAGCTATCGGGCCACGCGTTCCTCGAGTGGGTTTCGAAAGCTTTCGGGGAACACGGAGTCGGGCGAGCTATCGGACCAGGTGGTTTCCGAGCTTTCGGGCCTCCTGGAGGACGTCTTGGAGGGGTCTTGGGCCGTCTTGGAGGCCTCTGGCGGGCCTTTTTGGCAGTCTAAGGCCATATTCAGGCCATCTGGGGCCGTCTTGGGTGCATCTTGGGGCCATCTTGGCCGTCTTTGAGGCCTTCTTGGCCATCTTGGAGGCATCTTGGAGGCCACCTTGGCCGTCTTGGAGGCCATCTTGGGCGTCTTGGGGGCCTCTTGGGCCACATTCGGCTCTCTTGGGGATATTTCTGCCGTCTTGGATGCCATCTTGGTCGTCTTGGAGGTCATCTTGGCAGTCTTGAGGTAGCTTGGAGACCATCTTGGCCGTTTTTGAAACCTATTGGGCCGTCTTGGGGTCCTCTGGGGGCTGGCTTGAAGGCCTCTTGGGCCGTTCTGGAGCCATCTGGGAGGCCTCTGGGACCAGTTTGGAGACTCCTTGGGCCGTCTTAGGCGGTCGGAACACCAAAACCGAGGAAAAAACAGAATCCGCCAACAATCTAAAGAACAGTAAAACATGTTGGCTCCCTCGGGCCTTCCTGGAGCGCCTCTTGAACTCCTCTGGGGCAATCTTGGAACCTCTCGGACCCATCTTGGGACATCTTGGCCGTCATAGCGGCCATCTTGGCCGTCTTGAAGCTCATCTTGACCATGTTGGAAGCATTTTTGAGGCCGTCTTGGCCATCTTGGAGACCGTCTTGGGCGTCTTGGAGGCCTCTGCAGCCGTCTTGGCGCCCTCTTGAGGCGTCTTGGGGGCCTCTTGGGCCGTCATAGGGGCATCTTGGAGGCCTCGTGGGCGCTCTGGGGGCGATCTTTCGGGCTCCTTGGGCCGTCGTGAGCCGTCGGAAGGCTCGAAAAGAACAAAAGACAACATTCTTCAAAAACATGATGAAAACATTGATTTTGACCTCTTCGGGCTCTCGTGGAGGACCTCTTGGAGGCCTCTTGGACCGTCTTGGAGGCCTTTTTTTTGTCGGAGCATCGAACAAGGAAAATGGTGAGACGTTCTGCTCTTGGTGCGATCGCATCGCTGTCCCACCGTTACAATATGCAGTGCAGCGCTGCAATGTCGAATTCGGACTGGAACAGTGACCAGAGAGGCGAGCTGTTAAGCATTATGCCTACACTGGACAATATTCTCCACACCATCCAAGGCTGGTCTGGCTAGTTTGGACATCACTGCTGCTGCTTCTACTGCCCTGGATCCTCCCCCACCACACACAACCACCCCCTCGAACAGTCACCCTCTCAGGGTTCTAGGCTGACACGGTGGCGGGACTCCGTCCGCGTGCAGCTGAGCGAGCAACCAAAGCGATTTCGTCAACATCAGCAAGTCGGCCACATTAGAATGCCTGACTTGATTGAGACGACGATTGAGATTGATTAGAATGCCTGACTTGATTGATTGGGTCTGAAGGACCAGGGGGGGGCAAAGATGTCCCCGGCCACAAGTGTCTTGAAGAGTTCCGGCGGCATGCAGGGCTGGGCACACCGAGTCGCGAGAGAAGCAAGCTCTCTTCGCGCGCTTCGGAGCGCCAAGTGAGCACCAGCGTCGCCTCGCCCCCGCGGACCACCAACGAGTTTCAAAAAATTACTCGACGATCGTGCTGTGTATGTTCGGGCGGGCCGGAACGCGGACGAACTGCCCGCAGGAACGGCGAAGCCTCTGCGTCCCTGGATCCGAGGACGAGCACTCCAGCATCGCCTGGGGTTCCGGGGCCGTGTGCGGGAGCAAGACCTGCCGGCCATTGTGGAAAATAGCTGGCCTGTAAAGATCTGGTAGGTTCTGGTTGTGCATGATGGCGCTTTTACGATATCGCGCAAAATTCGCCCCAAATCCCTGCACGTTTCCCCAACTCACGGCACACACTTTGCAGCATCCAGATGCAGGCCACGATGAAAAACCTTGGAATACCTTCCAAAACCGCATTGCATGCTGATGGGCCAGCAAATTTACAAACGCATACCCGAAATTGATCTTCGACGCGAGATGCATCGGAAGATACACAAGATCGAACTGTCCCTCGAAACCCATGCGGTTCAACAGATCGACCAGCTCGTCCCGGGAAAGAGTGGTTGGCACGTTACGCATCATCAGTGGTCCGTTGGTCGGCGCTCGAGCCCATTTGAGCATGCACCACTCTCGGGACAAAGGCGGTCGCCTTCACGTTCAGGGGCGTGCGCAGACTGCCCGACTCCTGAGCAAAGAGCGCCACATCCAGATTCAAAATCTGCGCCTGCATGGGGCCCATAGCTTCTCCGGGAGGATCCGCAACGTCCCCACCATGCTCGCCGCACCACATTTTCACTCCGACCGATACACTGGAAGGGAAGCGCGGCGAGTCGAGGGAATCGCCCTGCGCGGGTTCATAACCAAGTGGGCTTGACCTCGTCATGGAGGACGCGACTCGAGACATCGAGACGCTCGCAGAGGCGCAGATAATGTGGCTCGCTTTTGGCTAAGATGGGGGATCGCGAGTTGCATAAAAAGAGTATCACTTTTAGCGTTAAACCAGTTCGGGCATCGAGCCCAACTGGCTTGAGACAAAATGGCTACGGACCGTCTTGGAGGCCTCTTGGAGGCCTCTGGGGCCGTCTGGGGCCGTCTGAGAGGTTTCTTGTGCGAACTTGAAGACATCTTGGACTTGCCTGGGCCGTCTTGGAGACCATTTTGGACCATTTTGGGCGAACCTGGAGGCCATCTTGGGCCATCTTGGAAGCCATCTTGGAGGCCATCTGGAGCAGGAAAAACTTTTGAAACCACCCTTTCCGGGCCATTCCGAGACCCAGGCGGACGGGGCCGAAACCTCAGGAGGAGCTCTTCTGGAGAAAAAAACCCAAACCAAAAGCGAAAGGATTCAGCACGCCGGGCACCCCTGTGATGAATCAACAGGGGGTGGCGGATCGAAGACGCCTACGGCGAATCACCGCCGCCCCCTGCCTTTTTGGAAGCGCCTGCGTAGCCGAAAGTTGGGTTTGAGCGTGGCCAAGCTATCGGGCCACGCGTTCCCCGAATGGGTTTCGAAAGCTTTCGGGGAACACGGAGTCGGGCGAGCTATTGGACCAGGTGGTTTCCGAGCTTTCCGGCTTCCTGGAGGACGTCTTGGAGGGCTCTTGAGCTGTCTTGGAGGCCTCTTGCGGGCCTTTTTGGCAGTCTAAGGCCATATTCAGGCCATCTGTGGCCGTCTTGGGTGCATCTTGGGGCCATCTTCGCTGTCTTGGAGGCCTTCTTGGCCGTCTCGGAGGCATATTGGAGGCCACCTTGGCCGTCTTGGAGGCCATCTTCGGCGTCTTCGGGGCCATCTTGGGCCCGAAAGAGCCCCAAAGACTGCCCAAAATCCGATTGCGAAGGTTTTTCCTGCTCCAGACGGCTCCAAGATGGCCTCCAAGATGGCCAAGATGGCCCAAGATGGCCTCCAAGTTCGCCAAAGATAGTCCA